GAAAGTGATCTCACCAAAAGGAATGAAAATGGGAGTTTAAATTTCAGTGGAGCTGGGGGATTTCAGTCTGACTGTTTGTGCCTTGTTCACTCTGTCACAGACTTTGCAGCAGCTCAGCTTTCTCTGGATTTGCAGAGGGTGGTAATTTTGTTCAAATGCAGGGCTAATTGCAAGTAGAGGAGTGGGCGTGCATGAGAGGAGTTGCACAGTGAAAGAAAGCACGTCACCAAGCTGTAAAGGTAGCAAACAGCAAAGAGGATAGCAGAAAAACAGAGAATGCCATCAGGGCAGCAGCCATGTCCATCAGTCAGGATGAGGAGTCTGAAGATGACAGGATGAGCCTGGGTGGCATTAGGAGGCACTAGTAAAGCACAAAGGGACCTCAAAGGAGAGCTTCAGCCCTTGAAAAAATCAGACCTTGTCAGCACAGTGGGTGACAAAATTTATGATTAACTCTGTTGTACTATCTTTGCTTAGGCAGTGATGTGCACTCATAGTCCCCAGTGCAATCACTGGTTCCTCTGGTACCTCACTGAAAGAGGAAGACCATGCAAGCTTCCAGTGGCTTGAGCTTTTACAGGGAAAGTGAGTCACAGAAGCACAGGAACCTCCAGTGAAAATTACTAGAGATTATTCCATATATTTAGAGCAGATTTATGACAAATGTGTGCCTAGAGATTCTCTGTGTCCAGAGAGCAATGTGTTAGCCAGCTGGCTTGCAACAGTGACCTTCTGCCTGGCCTAATTCAGTACAATCTTCCTGAATTGTCAGTTTACATGGACCAATCATCTCTTGATCCATGTAAATACCAGTGTTAACTGTTTCTCACTTTTCACTCAAGTGTCTGATGTTCTTACTTATTGCTCTTAGGATCATGGTTTATAAGAGGCAAATAATGGAAAGATAAATAGCCCAACAGAGCCAGGAGGTGGTTACACTACATCATGGAGCTCAGGGTTTGCTCTTTTCAACAACATACGACAGCACAGTGTAAGAGATCCCAGCAGCTTTTCGTGAATGCCAACAACCCAAACCATTCCTGACCTCTTAGAGTTTCACCCACTCAGCCACAATCTCCAGCTCCCTCTCCTGAGAAAATGTAAAAGTAGGTACAAATATTTACGGCGTGTTAAGAAGGGAGGACAGAGTAAAAAAAGCTCAGAAACTCTTCCTTGTGGAAAGCAGAAGAATGAAAAATAACATGCCATTTACTACACTGATGTATTTTTTATCTTCTGAATTTAATGCAAATGGCTTTGCATTCACTTGAAGACACAGCAGAAGCTTCATTGTTACCAAATTTCATACCTGTGTATTCTCCTATTTGGAAGATAAAGTTCTGAATTTAGATCCCGTGTGCTGCAGAGTTTACACGGCTTTATTTCTGCTCCAGAGTTACAGAGCTGTTTGGGCTTGGGTGGGGCAAGATACAAAACTATTGCTGCAGAGAAGAGACTGTCCTTTTTAGCAGGATGTGGGTACAGTTCCCTGACAATGTATTCATGGAAAGATGGCAGCCGCGGAGAGGCAACCTGTGACTCAGCAACCAAGTGAGGGTGGAAAGTAACCTGCTGCATTGGCTGCTGTTCTGAGGTCATCGGACACGTTTTTTACTTGAATAAGGCATTACCTCAGGCCTTATTCTTCCTTAAGGAGACAGCCCTGCTGTAATAGCATGACTTGCATACAAATCCACCAATTTAAAAAAAGAAAATATGTTTTAAGCTTAGCTGTATATGTAATCAAGTACCTCTGATGCTTTATGGTGCCAAGGGTTTCACCAACACCTACAGGAAATCAATCAAAGCCTTTAGCAGAAGGGTGAGGGAGGGGAGATTCGTGTATAATCTCATTCCCACCTACTGAGAGCCATTGCGAGCAGCAGCACTACCACCTTCAGTGTTTCTCTGGAAAATATTAAGGGCTTGCGATGTCTTAGCATGATGCCCGCCGCCCTCTCCCTTGCCGTGGGTGGAACATGGTGGCGTCTTGGCCTCTTTGAGCTTCCCCAGCCTCAGCAGCAGCGAGACATTTAAGGGAAGGGGCCTGCTGTTTTTTCTTCCCTGCTCTTTCCTTTATAGCAAATCCCGTCCTCTTTTTCTATGCGCTGCTCATAGTTACAGCACGGAGGCAGTGAAAGAGCCTGGGGGAGGCAGCCCCAGCTGGGTGGAGGTGATGTGTGGATGCGTTTCAAAGACCTGCAAAAAAAATGCCTAACCCTGCCTGCATCGTGCCACTGTTGTTCTGCACTTCTGCCCACACAGCCTCAGAGCTTTTCCGCTTTGGGCAAGGGCAGAAATCCCCTGTCTGCAGTCCCTCTGAGGCCCAGGCTGAGCAGCGGCTGCCTGCCCGAGGAGGTGAGCCCTGTGGAGCACCAGCCCTGCAGAGCGCCCGGCCAGTGGCGTGGGGAGGGAGGGCAGCACAACCCCCCCCAGCCCAGCGTTGGGACCCACGCGGGCCGTGCTGCTCCCAGGCTCATTAAAGGTACTTGCCATTCAGGATTGAACCTTGGGGTTGACCCCAAATGTTGTTCTTCTCCATGGTGGGGACCATTCATGTTTCAGGCAGCTGTGGGTTTCAATGGCAAGCCTGGATGTGGTGGCCAGTTGCTGGTCCAGGCTCTAGATCACCCTAGCAAAGTAAATTGAGATGACATGGAGTCGAAGCACTGGCTTGCTTCTTCAGCAGAGTGTCCCTGTACTAATCCCCTGAGGGTATAATGTGGCAATGCTGCTGGGAAAAAGAGACCCAAGGAAAGATCTTTTTTGCCTTGCATAACAAGGGATAAGAGAAAGAAACAGATGTAATGTACTCCCCTGTCAGATCGAGGTGGGTTTTTTTCTCCCTTTGCCCTTTAGCAAATCACTCCCATTCCCCAGCTGTCAGACTCATAGACTTCAGTGTTGAGCGATATGAACTGATAGAGAGATCTCAAACATCTCCTCTCATTGCTGTGTGGACTTTTAAAGAAAGCATAAAAATCAAGACCGCAGGGGATTTTAACCAATCTTTAAGTATTCAGCTACTGAATGTTTTGCCCTTTAACATATTAGATGTTTTAATAAGAAAGAAATCGGCAAGAGAGAGAAATGCATCTCATTTCTGTTTAAGTCCTGGCTGCCCCTTACAGTGATGAACTCAGCTCTGCAAGCAGGGTGGCACACAATGGGAGGATTTAGGGAGCTCTGTACAGACCCACAACATCTCCACGTCTCCATCAATAAAAAAACCTCTGACCCTTCTTCAGTTCCATATCTCTTAAAAAAAAAAAAAAAAAAAAAAAAAAAAAACACACAAAACACAAAAAAACCCAACAAAAACAAAAAAACCTGCTTTAAAAACAGCTGCCCTCTAAAAAGGGCAAAGGAATAAACTTGTGAGAGATATAGCTGGATTAGTTGCTAGCTGGAAAATTATTTGTGTAAAGATCTATACAAATGCAAACACTTTGTGGTGGGGTATGGAGACTTGGGTCTCTGGAGTTCTTGCGTGAGCCTGAGGTGAGTAGTTGCCATGCTGCATGTTATGGGCTTGAATGGGAGGTTGCCTCAGGTAGCTCCTCGTGGGCTGGAAATGTCACTTCTAAACACCAGCTGTCCACCCTGTTGGTGCTTGATAAAAAACCCTCTAAACACCTGAGGAGACTGAGGTTCATTGCTTATGGGTACTTTAGTATGTGCTGAACTTTCAGCCAGTGGAGATGGCAATGTCTTGGTGCAGGGTCAGTAAAAGTTCAGTTCGTCTTGAAACCAAACAGCTGTAGCCTTCCTACAAGAGCTTTCATGAAAGCATCACGCAGACGCGGTCACATTGGTCACACTATGAAAGCCAAGACTGGGTGGGAGGGTCTCAAGGGCTCTGGAGACAACTGGGAAGCTGTGCACAGATGGTGGCTGGCTGTTGTGTGTATGGGTGTGTCGGTGTGCGAGGCACAGCAAGGACAGAGCTGCCCGCCCTGCCGGCTGGCTGCTCCCCCAGGGCTGCCCGGGCTTCTCCTGGTGAGCACACAGCTCATCCTGGCACTTCACTGCCACTTCCTAAGTTTCTACAGAGTCGTCAAACAGTTTATTTTGGGCGAAATGGTATGTGAGAAGTTGGAATGTTTTGATGCTTTCTAAATGAAGCATTTTGAAGCTCATATCAGGGTAACATTTCATCCCCAACCTTTGTTTGATTTCGGTTTTAGAGAAGGACAATTTTTCTCGTTTATTTTTTCCTTTAAAATGTTCCCAGTACTAGTTAGAACAAATATTTTAAAACCTATAATAAATAAATAAATAAATAAACCTATAAAGCAAGCAGCTCTGGTTTGGTTTGCCATGCTGCTGGGTCAACTGTCATGAATGTGCTCTTACGTCCAGTCCATGGTCTGCTGCTAGATAATAGTAAGGTAAAAAACCACCACAAGTGACAGTATTACTGGCTATTCAACAACATTCTTGAGTGTCAAAAACAAGAGAGAAAAAGAAGTGGACTTTTCTAGGAAAGAAAACAACATGTCATTCCAAGGCCAACTTCATAAACATAATCTTGAATGCCATATCAGCGCTGTCAGGCCGAGATCCAATCCCTGATTATCTTTCTCAGCAGGCTGCTTCCAGGGCTTCCTTTCCTTGTAATAACAAAGTCACCAGCATATCTAACTGCAATACTAGAGATATGATTTTTGACAGTATGTCACTGTCATGTTACTAAACCTTGTACTATTTCTCTTTTTTTTTTTTTTCTTTAATTTCTTTGCGGTCCAGACTTTACATTCTTGAAAGTTTTTCTCCCTTTCTCCTAAAGGCAATAGTTAGCGAGAAGGAGTAGTTGCAATCACAGCACTTCTTTTATGGAACTTAGCAGGTGTGAAATGTTCTCCCTGTGGTCTAGTTAAACCTGTTAATCGTTTTGCAAAGGTTTTTGACAGATCTTCCTATAATCACGTTAATGACACATTGTTACTTTCTCTATTTTTTCCTCTTTTTTTTAAATCTTTTTCTGTTTCTTGTTACAGTTGAAACTATAGAGGAAAAAACAGCAGACTCCTTGCAAGATTTGTACAGAGCCTTGGAGCAGGCCAGCCTATCTCCTTTAGGAGAACACCGGATTTCCACTAAGCTGGAGTATAAGAAATCTTTTATAAAGAGATGTAGCGATCCAGTAGTCAATGAAAAACTGCACCAGCTGCGAATTCTGAAAAGCACTTTAAAGGTGAGATAAAAGATGGAGGAAAAATCCAGCTGCAGGGTTGGATCGGACTTTATTGCATTCGGAGATTAATTGTGCACACCTGGAGACCAGACTGAACCTGGTGTGAGAAAAAAGCAAGGAAGAGATGGGAAAACACTGTTTGCAAAGCAGAGAAAAATGTGCCTTGGGAGAGCAGTCAAAGTGAGGGGATCAATTTTTATTTCTGCAAAGATAAAATCTCAGTCAGCTGCTCCTCCTCTAGCTAGTTTAACAGAATTTGACACCAAAAGAGACCTTAATACCCTTTTTGTCTCTGAACATCATTGCCATTTACCAAAACACACACACTTTGCAATTTCTGAAGTCTAAAGTTAAGCCAAGCCAGCCTTTCAGAAGGGAGCAGTACCTTTTACAACGCTTGATTATTTTCTGATTGCTGAGCTTGTCCAGGAGGAAACTGTGTGCTTGCTTTCTGCGTAAGCTGATAGGATCATTGTATTTAATCAGTAGGATCGATTAAATAAATAGATAGTAGTAATGATAGATTTGAAGATTTTCATGGTTATTCTAAATGTACTACAGCTTATTTAGCCTCCCTGTCAGCTTCTTTGTTTGTTATAGCAGTTTCAATTCTCTCCTGATAGATATTTCAGCAAACAATATGCTGGATTTCCCCAGGGGCCCTGTTAACGATATTAAATTACTACATTTTAAGTCACTAGATAATTGTACAGTGGATTTTGTAACAGCTTTCATCAAAGAGGGCTTTATCAACATTAATTAATTTAGTTTTCTGTCACCTAGAGAAGCATTTAAGCAATATTATTTTCATGCTGTGGGGCTCCCATCCTGAAAAAATGTACGTGTGCTTAACTTTCTGCACTGTATCATCTTATTGAAGGCAACTACTACTTGTAGTATTATCTGGGTATGTGAGTCTTTACAGGATTGGAGACCAGCAGAAAAAGTCAAGATACATGGGCTTTCCACATGATTTCTACAGCATGAGAAAAGGAAATTAAATCACAGTACTGTCAGACATGTCGGGGTGGCAGGAGGTTCAAACACTTTCTGTGCTTTTGCAGCATGGCAGGATCTCTCATACCAAAACTGTGGTTCGGTATCAGCAGCTTGCTGCCATGCTTCATTGTCTTTCTTGTTAGCATTTATTGATACCTGAGCTACATTATGCCAACAGCTTCCTACAAATGGAATTGCTTTCCTCCAGGGAATTCCAAAAAAACCACAACCTCTTGACCCAGCAGATGCCTGTTTTTGTGCTTCTCTGGGACTTCTTTCTTTTGGACCAAGCAAACACAATTTGTTCATTCTCTGTCTGTGAGCCATATTTTCTAAACATGTCGCCATTGTTGTTCAGACCTTGATTAGTATAAATAATTCTTAAAGTACATGACACCAATAATTGAAAATGCAATGGCAGCAAGTACCAAAGACAGATAATTGCTGTTTCTTGTGTACAGCAACAGTGTAGAGTGACATGTGCCTGCTTTGTAATGGCATTATGGTAACTCATGACAAGTTTCTAGCTCCATTATAGTCCAACATTCCACCTCTGCTATACTACTCGTAGTTATGTCTACCTGTAGCTAGTGCTTTTACCTAATCAGTTATTCTTTCTTTTTATCAGTGCCTTTGATTTCTCTTTCCTGAATTCAGCCAATTGCACTAGCCTGTTGGAGTTGGTGTGAACTCTCCTGGAATTTATCAGTAGTAGCCTGAGACAGCCCTCCGGATTGCTTCTAGCTCTTGTTGTTCATAGGCTCTCTGTTTCATCATCTAAGTCCTTAATGAAAGACCCCTCTGCTCTCTTTCCTGTGACAGAACACAAAACCATTCTTGTGCCACTGAGTGTGAGCTACCTGGCTGGTAGTGCAGAGGTGTGGGTACCAGCCACAGTCTGTGAGAAGCAGGTTATGGTAGTTCAAGCAGAGACATGGTAATCAGGAGTTCCCATGGTTTAATTTCCACTGGACATTCTCAGCTTGCACCTCTGTTTCTGAAAATTAGTATTCTAGCACATAGTGTTAATAGGCTACTATTTACAAAGCATGAAAAATACCTTTCAGCCTATTATTGGTGACATCTTTGACCCTTCTGATCTCCTCTCCCACCAACATAGAATCATAGAAGGGTTTGAGTTTTAAAGGACCTTACAGATCATCGAGTTCCAACCCCCCTGCCATGGGCAGGGACACCCTCCACTAGACCAGGTTGCTCAAAGCCTCATCCAGCCTGGCCTTGAACACCTCCAGGGATGGGGCATCCACAGCTTCCCTGGGCAACCTGTTCCAGTGCCTCACCACCCTCACAGGAAAAATGTCTTCCTAATATCTAATCTAAATCTACCCTCTTTTGGCTTAACATGGACTGACACAGCTTAATATTTCCCTTTAACATGCTCCCCAGAACGATTTAACATACTCGTAGTGCGGACATGGAAAATGTGAGTTAGGAATGAAAACTGTGAAACCCATCTGGCAGGGAGGATAGAGGGGAGGTTGCTAGTGACAATACCATTGGAGAGGTAGAGGAGTAGTGCTGGAAACTTGCATGTTTAGCTGTGTTTCCCAGGCTTAAGTGTGTTGCATCCATCTTCCACCACCTGCAACAACCAGTAGTGGCTACGGGTATATCAGAGGTTTACTCTGATCTGTACCGGCTGCCTGTCATCTCTCGATAAATCACTGGCCAGTGATTATGATACAGCCACATCCCCTACCCCAATGACAGGTAAGGAGGTACCAGCAGTCATGTTAGATTTTGCCTGGTTTTACCTTCTCTTTGCAACCACAGTGGTAGGGGGAGGTTGCAGCCAGCCATCCCATGGCATACACTAGATCTTTAATTAAGATGAGTTATCATCAACATGGGGGTCCTTGCACAAGCCTTTGCAATGTAGCTCTCAGATGTCCCCACAAGAAGCCTGGTAAAAAAGGCTTAGGTGAGAAGCCATCTGTCTGCGTCCCACGCACCCACGCAGTATTTCTTACGCTGATCAAGAAGAGCAAACAGATGGCACTTCGTCATGTGAAACCCATCTTGAGAAATGCAAGCAGCTAATAGTAAACAGTAAAGCTTTTTCTTGAGCTGAACAAGGGGTGAGGAGGAGGAATAGGGACTGTTTCCAAGGATGCTGGGCAAGGCAAGGCCAGCCCTGGCCCTGCAGGGTGATGTCTGATGCCCAATAGGAAGGGCTCCTGTTTGCAAGCAGTCATATAGCAGTCAGATAGTCCCCCTGGTTTTAGGGGCTCCATGGCTTGAGTTTGCTCCCCCTGTTCTCTCCTTCCACCCATGTGACTGATTTTGCCAGCGACTTATTGCTCGCACTGACTCTTTGCTTGTTCCTTTTCTCCCACAGGCCAGGGAAGGAGAAGTAGCCATTATAGATAAAGTTCTGGATAATCCAGCTTTGACATCTAGAGACTTTCAAGAATGGAAACAAATGTACCTTGATCTCTTCATGGACATCTATCAAAGCAGCACCCGGAGGGACTCTGTTAATGGCTCATCTGAGGTTGATGCACTGATAGCCTCCTTAGCGCACACTCACTCTTACATTGAAACACATGTATAAACGTCTCCCTCTTTCTCCATTTGCTACACTTCAGCCCTTAAGTGCATAAAGTAGTTTTTATATCAATATGTGAGAGCTCTAGTAAATTATATTTTAATGTTACTGAGCTGTGTGAAGTAAACCTCCAATGGTCAATGATACCATGTCTCTAATGAAGATTTGTATATTTTATATGCTGCCAACGCTCCACTTGTGTTTACTTTCTGTGAAATAACAAACATGAAATTTAGCTATTAAAGAAAAGTATTTAAAAGCATTTTTGGAAGACTGTGGCTTTCACACAGGAAGTTCCACAAGCTAAAGGTTTTGTTATCGAAGGTCAATTTTACAATGATATTTTATATGATTCCAGTATTGCATTTTTGGAGTGCAGGTACTATTTTGGTGGTGGGAGAAAAGCAATTTTTATATTTAATGAGAAACTCTAGGAGTTTTCTTAAATAATAGGGGAAAAATGTAGTGCGGTGATTGTGTTTCAGTTTTGTTAAACACACAGAAGGGTGAAAATCAGCAGACAGAAATGACTAATGTGAATTTTAAGTATCAAAAGGTTAAGTTTTATTTCCTTGTGTTTTTTCAAAGCCTGTTGCTAAGATTTGCCATCAGTGCAAAGAGATGCTGGTTTGTATCCTAATTAAGACCAAATTATGTGTTATTTGTTGCTTAATCACATTTGGTTGATTTTTTAAAAATCAGTCACGGTACTGTCATTTATACTGCTTTTGTACTGAAGGTATCAGTATAATGTGCAGATTTTGCAAAAGAGAAAATGTAGACCTTGAACATCCTTGATAGAGGCTTTTCTCTTGCCCGGAAAAGCAGCAGTGGAAAAGGCTCCCAACGAAATGCTGTGAATCTGAGAGGCTTTGAAAATTCCCACAATAGAAAAGGAATTAATGGTATTTTTCAGGTAGTCTGTGTGTTTTCTGAGCTGTGAAATTTGTCCGCATTATGTGCAGGGAAAATGTGTGATAGGAGCAGAGCTGAGCACAGAACCTGAAGAATAACTGAGGAGTAAAAAAGCCTCTGCTTTGCTTTTGAAGGGGAGGAGAGGTCTCTGGGTTCTGCTGAGTTCACAAGCCAGTTAAAATGCTTTAAACTTCCTTGGGATTTGAGATGCGCTGGAGACAACCCAATGAATATGAGTAGAAGTAGGTCCTTAGAGTTGGGCACGTGCCAGGAACAGGAAAGCGGGAGGGAAATCTGAAATCACATGTTTACTTTTTATGGGCTTGTTTTCAAAAAGTGATCAGAGCATGACAAAAAAATTCTCCTGCTTTTCAGTATTTTTCTGCAAGTTAGGACTCAAGACATGATTTAATAATGCTCATGTGAAAGGGAAAAGACTCCTTTATACTTTTTACAGTGAGTTGTACTCTTAACCAACTTTAGACTATTGCCTGTACAGCTCAGTGAATGTACTTTAAACTTTATGAGCTCTGATATTTCCTGGCAGTTATATCCATGAAGGGATGAAGGAAAGAATGAACAGATTTATTTTCTATCTTCTTTCTTTCTTTCTTTCTTTCTTTCTTTCTTTCTTTTTATTCCTCTCTCTCTCTCCCTCTTTTTCTCTCTTTCTCCCCTTTGTCTCTTTCTTTTTCTCTTTCTCCCTCTCTTTCTTTCTTGTTGTTTTATTGCATTTGGATTGCAAATGTTTTGCAGATTTTGCACAATTGTACAGAAGAGTGGCCTTTCTGTAGCCCATTTTCAGTAATCCTATATTCAAGTCAATATGGATGACAAATCATGTATTAACGTTTGTATAGAATTCTGGATCCAGTGTAATATTTGTACCATTAGAAGAATATTGTTTGTATAAACTGGACATTTATTTACTGCATGGGTACTGACTTGTATATTAAATTTGTGAGGTTTTTGTAAATTTCTCTTAAAAAATGCTTGACTTGAAATGGATTGTGCTATTGTTCCAAGCATTTAGATTCTCTTGCTATTGTTTTACTGGACCAAAAGTAAATATATTCATATTAAAAACTCTTTATATCTGATGGATGTATATGCACATTGTGTGGTTGATTCCTTGTCAAAACCAAGGCAGTTCAGAAGACTTAGATCTGTTGCTATGCAACAGCTATTCTGCCTGCACTTTACATTAGTAAAGTCAGCTTGATTGCTTTAAAGGTGAAAATTAAATATTACACTTTTTAAAGCTAGTCTAGTGACAAAGAACATGTGTCCAATCCATTGTGCTGCCTTCTTTTAAGACTATTAAATGTTCTTCTATATATATTTTTATTGTATTAGCTCTCAGTCTAGAAAGGGAACACTGTAAAATGAAGTACAATAAATTTAGCTTTTAAATGAACATTTGTGACTCGATATTCAATTTACTCCATACCAAGCGACTCTGCAGCATCTGACCATTTTGCCTGCATTTCATAGATCCACCTTAAAGGACTCCTATAATCTCTGCCTTCAAACTCTGCCAACATGGCCAGAAAGATGTAGGACTATTGCTGTTTCGTATGTAGGCAGACACTGAATAAAGACTTCTGAAAACCTTCAGTTACCTCCCTGCCCTTTGTACTCTTTGATGAAAGTAAACCTTTTGTGACTGCAGGATTCTCTCGTGTACTAGTTCAACAGCTATGAAGAATTTTACCATTAGGAGCAGGTACAATAAAGCAGCATATGCTACCGAGGTAAGTGTCAAGGCATTAGTTACAGACACTCTTGTAACATGTTTCTTAGAGCCTAATAATAAGTATACCCATTCAGCTCTGGCCGTCCAAACTAACACAAGGTTTGGATACAAAAGAAATGTACTGTACTGGTAGTGTGCGTCTTGAAAATAATGCAAAATAAGCATCTGAAAGGCATGCTACAACAAAGGCTGCTCAGAGAGAAATGGCTTCTACCAATCAGTTTTAAATGATGGCCGTAACTGAGTCTACATAGCAAAAAATCCGTGCTTTCTGTCCAGTAATTTCATGCGGGTTAGTTAAGATGTTCCTGCCTGGTATGTAACATATCAAATAATACCTTTTCCTTGGCAGTACTTACTATTAGTTCTCATAGACATCAATTTTCTAGTCTTCATACAGCTCACTTTCATTTTGCTTAGCCATAGCATAAAAAAATCAATAGCACTTACGAGCTGGGAAAATTACTTCTGATTAAGAAAACAGAAAAGGTGGATTATATTTTTTAACCTTTGAAAAATCTGACTTGCAACACCTGTTAATTACTATCTAGGTATTACTTTTCAAAAGTCAAGGATTACTGTTCTCACTCATCGCCTCTAAACGGGCTACTTGCTGTGTCCTTCCTCAGTGAGATTGACTTCCAGCTCCAGAAATCCCAGCACCTTTTCCCATGCTGGAGCCAGACTTTCTTGCCTGTTTCCACCAAGCATATAGCTTATCAAAGGAAAACCTCCACTCTGTCACATTCAATGCCATTGCAATTTTCTTCTTCTTCTCCAGGACCCCCTGCTGATTCATCTCCTGGGCTGATCATTCCTCAGCATGGCAGCTCAGCGGTTCGGTGGCCTCTTCTGCTGGCTGTCGCTGTCCTGCTCATCGGCCAGTTCAGGGAGTTGCAGCACCGCGCACTGCAGCCCACACCAAGGCAAGGGGGCTTTGCAGATCTCTTCCCAGCCGTCGTTGTCGATGTCATAGCCAACCACGTCTTGCGTGGGGACTTCCTGTGAGTTTTGCCATTTCTTTCCCCCGATAAGAAGAGCCGTTTCCTCTACCACTGCCAGGCCGTAGCAAAATCGATCATAGATCAGTGGTCTTAACCGAGTCCATTGGTTTTGATCTGGGTTGTATCTTTCTATTTCAGAGAATGGTTCATATAATCCTAAAAAGGTGAATATGGCATCTCTGATTGTTGCCATCTGGTGCCCAAACCTAGCAATGCTCATGGGGGCTTGTTTCATCCACTGCCCTTCAAGTGAGCTCAGAGAATATACGTCCTTGCTTGTGTTGGCTGTGTCTGAGTACTTGCCACCAGAGATGTATATAGTATTCTTGCAAATGGCACTGGCATGACCGTGCATCTTGCAGGGCAATTCCCTGGCCCGTGTCCATCTGTCCCTGCTGATGTCGTACACTTCCACAGACGAATGCAGCGACCCATCCTCACCCCTTCCACCAATGGCAAAGATATCCTCGCCTAGGACACAACAAGAAAACTGACATCTCTTTTCTAGCATGCCTGTGATCTGGGTCCACGTATCGAATCTCGGATCATAACGATGGACCTTATTCGTAACCGATAAGATCTTCTCAGTTTTAGCATCACCCGGGGCACCACTTTCTATTTCCCCACCCAAAACGTAGAGGAAGTTCCCCACCACACACACGCTGTGGTTCTGCACCCTGTCCCGCACCTGCGTGAGAGCTCGCCATTTGTGATTGTAAACGTCGAAGGCCACCACATCGGTGACAAGCCCCTCACTCGCTGTCCCTCCCCCCAGCAGAATAATCCGAGTTTTCTGGTTCCTCAGCGTGGTGGTCTTATCCTGCAGGACAGGCTGTTTGAAAACAGATGTATGGTAATTTATTGCTTTAATGATCAAGCACTTGATACCTGGGGAGAGGGGCACTTCTGACTGTGTGTAGGTTTTTCTCAGCTCTTCCACCGGGATGAGGCCATACCTTATGTGCTCTAAAAGGCTGCTAGCATGAGCCAGCCTGGATTTATCCTGCTTCAGCCATAGCAGCACAAGGTTCAACAGGCGCACTTCTTTCACCATGGAGAGATCTGGTGATTCAACCACTGCTAGCAAAGACCTGAAGTTCAGCTCGAGCAATCCTGACAAATCCAAGTCCAGCAGCTTCCACAGATTACTGACAATGTATTTTTCTGTTGCTGCTAAGGCTTCTGGCAGGTAGAACTTCCTGGCCACATTGGCAGAGAAGCAGCAGCTTTCCAAGGCAAGGTTGTTAACTAAGTACTGATTGCACAAGCCGATAGCATCAGTCACTTGCAAGTAGGTTGCAGCTTCCAAGGTATCTTCCAGGCTTTCAAAG